ACTCTACAAAGGCCATGTGGTTTGGTGCCCAGGAGCTGGGGTCCTGGAGTCAAACAAGCCTGGGCTCCATTTCCAAGTTATGGGAACCCTGTGGAAATTATTTTAACCTCTTCAAGCCTCTTGTGTGTGTGTGTGTATGTGTGTGTATAAAACAGTACCTACCTTATGAGGTTATTGGTACTGTAATGATTAAATGAACCGAGGAAATGAATCGTGCCCGACCTATAGTAAGGTGTGTTACAGTCACACATTTGAGGCCCATTGTTTTCAGCCCAACAATAACAACTTTACCACAGGCCTTATGAAATTTACAGTACATCCGTTTACAAGTAGAGGAAACAGGTGGCACCTGAGATCACTATAGACCTTGCTTGGCTCAAACATGGCACTGAATGTCCTGGTTAGGATGTCTTTTTCCTCCTTCAGTGAGGCAGCTTGGGCAGGACCAGGGCCTTGTTCCTCACTGCCTATAGTTGGTTCTTCCACATTGCTGACTGTAGATCAGTGGTGTTGCGGGAACTGACCTCTAATCCAGCTCTACCTGCCGAAAATCTGATATTTGATACTTAGTCATGTCTCTTTTCTTCTCAGTAGGTTTGGAACTCTGAAGAGAGGAGTGGTGTTATTAATTAGCTCTCTTAAATCTCTCAGACTGGTAGAACCAAGACTAGAAATAGCTGCCTTAGAATCTTGTGATGTGGTCTTTATCTCATGCACTTTATTATGACCATAGACTCATGGAATATTGGGGCCAAAAGGATCCTCAGATTCTGGTCTCTAGCCCAGTGTGTCCCTCCAGATGTGCAAACTGTAGCTTCTTTACCATGGGAGAAGGGAGGGAGTAGGGGCAGAACAGTGCAAATGAGCCGATTTGAAGACTTGAGGTTGGGAAACACCAATCTGGTGCAACCTTGAGACTTTAATGGGCATATTAGGGTTCTCTGGCCAACTTAAAAAGGAATGTGTTGGGAGGCTGTTGGGAAAAGGACACACAGGACTGATGGAAGGCTTGGGGTCAGGCTGGGGAGTGGGCAGGAACCAAGGGGCATCAGGATGCGGGAAGCATAGCAACCGCTCATGGCCAGAACACCTTCCCCTCTGCAGCCTCCTCTGTCCCTTGGTTATATTGAGAGAGTGTCTGATTGGCTGAGCATGGGTTCTTTGCCCACACTTGGCTGACTTAGGATTTGGCTCCCTTAACTTCCTGCTTTCTGGTTCTCTGGATATGGGTACCTGGAATTATTCTCCCACCAAAGCCATACATAATGGAGAGAGGCAATTAAAAAAAAAAAAAAAAAAGTAAGGTCTTGTTAGGGAGGGAAATAGATGCTGGGCAGGCAAACATTACCAGACAACTCCTACAGTGGGGCAGCCAGACCACCCAGTGCCTGGAGTGGAGTGTGATGAGGAGGGATGTACATGAGAATGGGGGAGGACAGAGCAAGGGAACTCACCTAGTCCATGGTCAGGGAGGGCCTGTACACAAGGGAGACATGTGCAGGACGCCAGAGGATAAGTGAGCCAGGTGGTTGGAGCAAGGGGTGGTAGTAGAGAGAGGGCTGGAGGGAAGAGTGTTCTAGGCACGAGTGAAGTTGGAGGTAAGAGGGTTCGTGGCCTTCAGAGATTCGAGAAACAGGGAGAGACTTGCCCAGGGTCCCACAGAGAGGCGAGGGTAGGACTGGCTAGAGCCTATGCCTCAGGCTGGTCCCGTGGCACCATGCTGTTTCTGTTGCTGCCGAAAACTGGCCATGTTTTTCAGGGTGTTGGAGAGGGTAGGCGGTTGCTGAACATAAGAGAAGTTTATTCTAAGGTAATGGTTAAGAAAGATAATACGGCACGGGCACATCTGTGAGAAACATTTAGAGTGTCAACAAGTTGAGAAGAACACGGGGGTGCCCCCCACATAGGATATCTGGTGTAAGAATCGAGAGAATGTGAACAGCAGAGCAGATGATCGGTTTCTGCAGTAAGAAAGTACAGCAGAAGGAAGTGTGTTTTGTTTTTTTTTAAATGAAAATACAGTGAAAACATGTTTCTGAAAAAACGAGGCTGGACACCAAACGAGAGGTGGTGGGAGAGAGGAAAGGGGGCTGTTGGCTCATCTCCCCGCGCACAAGGTGTTTGGAAAGTCCAGTATATTAGAAAGCTTTTGATCTGCCCACAGAATACATTTTTCTCAATGGTTCCCAGGAGGGGCCTTTTCAGGGGAAAATGTGAATTGTCACTTTCAGAAGGGAGGTGGGACTTGCCATTGTGTCATACTGGGTGGACAGGGGTGGCTCCTGCCTGCGAAGAATCCTGTCACTCAGTCAGTGAGAGGTGGTTCTTGAGTGCCTGATTACCACGTGCCTAAGTTTCCCTGAGTTGGGTGCTTTGGGGGTAGAAAGGGTTTCCCTCAAGGTTGAGGGCAAGAGCTTGTACAGGACAGCCAAGATACAACATTCACACGCCTCTGAAGAGCTTTGTGTGCTGTGGAAGCGGGAGAAAGCACTCAAGCACTTCATATAGGCAGCGGCAGAGGTTTCATAGAAAAAGTGCCATTTGAGTTGGTGCTAGTGATTCGTAGGCAGAAATAGGAGTGAGAAGGAAGGGAGGGCATTTCAGACAGAAAGGACACGTGAGCAAAGGCATGGAGGCAGAGCATATGATCGCCGCTCACTTCCTGATCACAGTTTTCCCTTGATCGTGGCCACATTTTCATTGTCATACCACGTCACGATTTTTGCTATGTCCATATATCACCTGTTTATTATTACTGATATTTTTTATTTAAATTATTTGATTTCACTGAAACAGTTTTACTTACAAAGATTCAGATTCCTTCTGTAAATTGCATGTTAGTATTACTGTTGTGTTCTTTGTCATCAGTGTCTCTGGGCTCTCATGGCATGCCCCTTTGATAGAGTTTATGAACCTATGTTGTGACCGTGTCCTCTGCTGCCACCAATGTGATCTGATTTTTTTTAAACTTTATTTATACAGGTAGCTTAGAAATACATTCTCTCTGTAAGAAGTCAGGTGATAGAGGTAAAGCTCAAGTGCTCTGCCATGGTCCTCTCACTACCTTAGCCGCTTCCTAGCAACAACCTGGATCATCTGCTTAGTGGACCATCTTCCAGATCTTTTTCTTTTCATGCATATATATATGTACCTATAAGTCTTAGTCATCTAGTGCTACTATAACAGAAATATCACAAGTGGATGGCTTTAACAAAGAGAAATTTATTCTCTCACAGTCGATTAAGCTACAAGTCCAAATTCAGGGCATCAGCTCCAGGAGAAGGCTTTCTGTCTCTTTTGGCTCTGAAGGAAGGTCCGTATGATGCATCCAGTCTTCCCTTGGTCTGGGAGCATCTCAGCACAGGAACTTCAGAGACAAAGGATGCGCTCTGCTCCCAGTACTGCTTTCTTGGTGGTGTGAGGTTCCCATGTGTCTCTGCTCACTTTTCTCTTTTATATCTTAAAAGAGATTGGCTTAAGACACTATCCAGTCTTGTATACCTCATCAGTATAACTGCCACTAATCCATTTTCTGACATCATAGTGATAGAGTTTACATCACATAAGGAAATTACATCAGACTGCATAATCATACAGTACTGGGAATCATGACCCAGCCAAGCTGACAGATACTTTGTGGGGACACAGTTCAATCCGTGACACTATAGGAAAGCTACAGCATTGTCTTCTTGGGTTTATTATTGTTTTTAACATAAATGATGCCGTTTGTCTGTATTTTTCTGCCATTTCTTTTCTAGAGTGATTTTTCTAAGGTACAGTTCTTTTAAAATCAATTATTTTCATAAATTAAAACAATGACAACAGTAATACATACTTTTGGTTGAAAAAATATCACAATTCAAAAGGGTAATTCCAAGACACAACACTGGCCATGCCTCTCCTCTGCTTCCAGCTCTGAAAAGGCTCCCTGTTGCCCCTAGGAGAAAGGTCACACCCTCCTTGGCCTCTAGGGCTCTGGGTGATCTGGCTTCTGCTCTCCTCTCCAGCCTCATCTGTGGTCCTTCCCTTGGCCAGTTCCTGCCATTCCTGATGGCCCCCACGCCCATGTCCATTCACCTGAGGCCCTGCAGTACTGGGTTGGGCAGCCCTTCCTCAGACTGGTGACCCTGGTCAGTGGTAGCTGGCTTCCTCGTCCACTCCTGGGCTGTGAGCTTCCCGCTGGTGGGGTAGTGTTGGGGGCAGGCTGGTGCTCAGGCCAAGAGGCCAGGTGCATTAGCCCTGCTGTCTGAGTCCAGGCGCTGGCACTGCCAGTGCCTAGTAGTGCAACGCTCTCTGTGCCTCAGCCTCTTTGCCTGAAGGAGGAGGAGGAGGTCAGTGCCTGCCTTGGATGGTTGAGAGGAGGCTTAGTTCATTCCTGTGTGAAAAGCAGTCAGGCCACGGTCTCTTCCGTGGTGAGAGCTCACCATGAGGCGCTCTTCTTCACTGTTGCTTCACCAGGGCCCAGCACAGGGCCTGGCATGTCAGTGTTCAATAAATGTATGTATGTTGAAAGGAATAGAGAGGTACAGTGTGCGTGTGAGGATGCGTAGGGGACAGAGACTTTGTGTCAAGGAGCTAGGGACAAGGTGGAGGAGTTGGGATGTGATGTTGAGGGCAATGGGGGCTTGTTGCAGGGTTTGAGCACACTGAGCAGTGCGTGAAGGTGCTGGCTGGGGAAGAGTAATCAGGTGGCAGGGAACTCGGGCGGGGGGCGGGGAAGCAGTCTGGGGGCTACGAGCAGAAGACAAATTGCAGCAGTCTCAGATACCATTTCCCGGGGCCTTTTTATCTCACAAGGCCCTCGTCTGTCCTCTGCTTGACTTTGAATGCCCCAGGAAGCAAGAAGCTATGCAGTATTGATACTCTCCCAAGAGGGCCAGGGCCTTCACCCATTTCTGGCCTTGCTGTCGTATGTGTTCAGGTGTGATGGAATGATTGAAAGAAGCTACATATTTTTGATGAAGCCCCCGCCCCACCCTTTTTTGCTTATTTATTTACAGGCAACGCTGCTGTAGAGAAGTTGGAGGACTTCATCAACAACATAAACAGTGTCTTGGAATCCTTGTATATTGAGGTAAAGAAAGGAGTCACAGAAGATGATGGGAGACCCGTTTATGCTCTGGTAAGTGCAAGACAAGGAGCCCTGGTGGTGCAGTGGGTAAGAGCTTGGCTGCTAACCGAAAGGTTGGTGGTTGGAACCCACCAGCAGCTTCGCGGGAGAAAGATGTGGCAGTCTGCGTCCGTAAAGATTACAGCCTTGGAAACCCTATGGGGCAGTTCTACTCTGTCCTGTAGGGTCACTATGAGTGAAATCAACTTGAGGGCAACGAGTTTGGTTATTTTTGTTTTGTTTAAGTGCAAGACAGGGAGCCCTCTTGTGGAATTTGTAAGGAAACACAACTGAGTGTGCCTTGGAATGAGCACCCTCGTTTGTAAAGAGTGAAAGTGTACCTGGCCTTATAGGAGGGCCTGAAGTGAAGGGGAAAGAAACTGAAACCGCCCCCACCTCTCTGACCCAGACCACCTTCCTGTCCTCACAACGAGCCCTGAGGTCTATATTATTCTGTTTTTTGTTTCCTTAAACACATGAAGAAATCAAGACTCTGAGAGGGGAATGACGTGTTCAGGGTCACCTAGTTGTCAAGGCTGGGCCCAACCAGAACTAGAGCTCAGGTCTCTTGACCTCAGTGCTTGGTAGCCCCACCACATGGCAGCCTCGCCAACCCGAGACACGGCAGTATGTGACTGACTTTGTTTTTTGACAGTTCTCTGCAAGAAGTCACCCCTAATGTGTGGGATATTAGGATTAAAGGGAGAAAATGAGTTTTCATTTGGACCAGTACATAGAAGATGGGAGAAGAAAAACGTGTGGAAGCACTAGGGATTGAGACCCATTTTGGGCATCCTTGGCTAGGGAACCACCCTTAGGCTTGTCATAGGAGACTGGGCAGATTTCTGTGAAGTTGTTGCCCACCCACTCATAGGCTCCTACCAACCAGGCCCACACTCAGAAAGGAGCCCACTAGCCCAGAGTTCCCAAACTCTGTTCCGTGGAAGGAAGGGCTATGCAAGTCAAACACCTGTGGAAATGCTGGATTAAAGAAAGTAAAGCAGATTTCTTTGCTACCCTGTTTCTTAGTGCCTTTTGTATTTGGAACTCCAGTGGCATATAGACAAGTTCCCAAATTTATCTGAGTTTGGAAAATACTGCACAACCTTTGGAGCCTTGAAATCTCTGCGAGTCGGGCATGCTGACTGAACTAAAGAGTAAACTCTGTGATATTAACCTGGTTCCAAATGCCCCTCAGTGCCTGGACACAGGTGCATAGTGCCTGTTGAGGGAGGGAGGGAGGGCCGACAAATGAATTAACGAACAGTGACCTTCATGCTGATTTGTTCTTTTAGGTGAATCTTGCAACCACTTCAATTTCCAAAATGGCATCGGATTTTGCAGAGAATGAACTGGACCTGTTTAGAAAGGCTGTAAGTACAGTAACTCCCCTTGCCCTCAGCTTGGCTTCTTATGGGCTTCATTAGAAACAGAAACCATAGTCTTAGAAGGTCAAAAGCCCTTTCTTCCCAGAATTCATGGCCTCTGCTGCCAGGTGATTTCTGGGGAGGCCACCAACGGGCCGCCTGAGAAAGAAGGGCTATTTCAGGTTTCACCCCTGGCTGGGTGAGTAACCGCAGGGCCTCATGGTATGTGATGCAGTGGACCAGGCGGTACTGCCTGGTGACTCAGAGTGTGCCCTGGACCAGTGGCATCAACATCACCTGGGAGCTTCCTTGTTAGAAATGCAGAATCCCAGTCTCCTCCCCAGATAATGAATCCAAATCTGCATTTTAACAAGCTTCCCCCTCCCCCCGAATTATTTGCATGTTCACATTTGAGACACACTGATCTATCACACTTCTGAACTCTTCCCTCTGTCTCTCTTGTCCGATACCTGGCTGGGCACCTGGGGAGTTAAAAATAATTCAGACATTCCAGCCCCACTCCAGATCTGTCAGATCAGAATCTCTAAGGGTGAGGCCCTAGAGTCAGCACTTCTTCAGTCTCCCTGGAGGCTTTTAGCAGTCAAGGCTGAGAACCAAGACTGAAAATTGAGGGATGAACATCTGTGTGTGTGCAGGCAGCCTGTCTTCCCGTGTGTTCCTGCCCTGCTCTGGGCAGAAGCTTTCGGGAGCTTGCCTGCCAGCCCCTCCTGGTGCTGAGTTCACATTGCTTCACTGGCTCCCGAGCTGTCTCTCTTCCTTGCTCACATGTCACTGAGCTCGAGAATATGATGCCTGAGCTATGCTCTCTCTGACTCTGCTCTCTCTCCTATCCTGGCTACAGCCTGCCAGTCATGCCAGCCTTGATGTCGCCTGAGGAGTAAGGACAGGTGCTGCCTCCTTTATTTCATCATTTATTCTCCAGCTCGCCTACTTTCAGGGAGGTGAGGTTGGAAGCAAGAGAAGTGAGGTGACCCTTCTTGATTTTTGGACATTTAGTATTATTTTAGATGGAGTTACAAGAGTGACCATTGAGTCAAAAGGACCGGACACACTTAGGCCTTCGGATGCATTGATGAAATTGTTTTCCTGAAGGGTGGTACCAGTGTCCACGTCTGCCTGTGAGACGAGTGTTCTAGCTTTACTGCACCCCTGCTAGCAAGTGTAGTATCGCTTCAAAGTCGTTTTGATAGATGAACATAGTTTCTGCTCTTTTTTTCCAGTTGGAACTGATTATTGATTCAGAATCTGGCTTTGCATCTTCCACAAACATTTTGAACCTGGTTGATCAACTTAAAGGCAAGAAGATGAGAAAGAAGGAAGCCGAGCAAGTGCTACAGAAGTTTGTACAAAACAAATGGCTGATTGAGGTACTTAGTCTGGTTTCCCTAGCTTGGCTCGCTTTCTAGACTGAATAATGATTTTTTCCTCCAAAACCACATTCATGTCCAACTGACGTCTGTTAAGCCAGGCCCTTTCAGGTCTGTTACCTGTTCTGTGCCCGCAGCAACCCCTTGAGGAGAATTTGGATTCACCCCACCCCCTACTGGTTTACTCACATGATCTGTTCAGGGCCCCACAGCCAGGGTGGCATTGCCAAGACTCACACCCAGGTTTCCAGGCTCCAGGATTCGACCCCTTGGTTCACAGACCATGTGGCAGTATAGTACAGTGGATAAGAGCACAGCCCAAGCATCAAGTCTGAACCCCTGGACCACATAACCTCATGCTTCTCATCTATAAGAGGAGAATGATAGCGCTACTTTTTGGCTTGTAACAGCAGAAGTGACACCAAAAACCAAACCAAACCTGTTGCCATTGAGTCAATTCTGTCAATGTGTTATAGAGTAGAACTGCTCTATAGGGCTTTCTTGGCTATAATCTTTATGGAAGAAGACCACCAGGCCTTTATTCTGTGGCATTGCTGGGTGGGTTCGAACTGCCAATCTTTAGGCTAGTAGTCGAGTGCAAACTGCTTGCACCCCCCAGGGATCTAGGAAGTGAGACAGTGGATGTAAAGTGCTGGTTGCTGGGCACCTGACACATGTAGTAAGCTTGCAGACTTCACTGCTGTCATCATTATTGTTATTATCAACATTATTCAGGACCAGTCCTCATGGATTCTTTCACTTAGACACTGACCCTTCAGGAGCAAAGAGAAACTGTAGAAGAGCTTTTTGAGAGAGAACTGTGGAGATCTGTGAAAGGACCAGACTGCAGGCTGAAGTTGCTAGACTCCTTTCCACATCTAGTCCTAGGGACTGGAGCAGAACAAATGTTTCAGCTCCTTTTCCAAAAAGGAACCACTGTTTCCCAGAAAGCCAAGAGCCAGACATGCTCAGCTTCTGCCCGTTTTACCACACTGTGCCCCCATGAGTTTCTGTGACCATGCAGGATGTATTCTCTGTCGGCCCGGAACTTTCTCACTTGGTGGTCAGACCTGTGGCTAGAGGCTGCTGCTTGTGGCTGATGCGATTCTTCACTTCCTTTTCAGGGAGGGCTTGCTTCTGGGTTGTCATAGTTACAGTGGTCTGAGTTACCGATTTCTAAACGGGGTGGGCCCATCCCTGGGGATCTGACCTGAAATTCTTAGTTCCTGAGGTGCCTGATAGGAGGAGAAAGGCAGGAGAGGTCACAGTAGGGAGGGCAAGGTGGGGATGGGGAGGGACCCACGTTCACTGAGCTCCTAGCTCGTGCCAGGATCTGCTGGCACATGCACATACATCATGCCCTTCAGTCCTCCCAGCTGCCTGCTGACGACAGTGGAGCGCTCTCTGAGTTTTAGTTGAACAAAATGAGGCTCACTGGTGGTAGAGCCTGAGTTCAGACCCCAGTTTGGGTGACTGCAGCTTCCCATTGATTGCTTTGTCACAATTTTTCTTCTTTGGGGTTTAAGAAATATTTGCTCATTATAGAAAGATTAGAAAATATCAATATGCAAAAAGAAACACACGAAGTTACCTGTTGTCTCACCTCCTGGCGCTAACAGTGTAACATTCTAGTTCATGCTTTGTGCCCTGCAGGGATGTGCCCCGACTTTAGTGTTAGACTTTCCCTTTGCCCCAGCTCTTTGTGCTCAGGGAGGCTGGGTGACAGGGTGGGAAGACCATGTCTCTGGAGACTGTTGGACTTGAGTTGGGAATCCAGGCTCCTGCTTCTTCATCAGTAAAATGGAGATGGTAGTACGGCTCTGAGCTCTGGTGAGATGGTGGATCAGGAGGTTCTGTGTGCTGCTGAGTGAGTGGGTGCTGCAAAACCCAACCTGCTGGCCTCCCTCAGCCGTGGCGCCCTTGGTGGTGTCCTCTTTTTCTCTTGTTGTTGAGAGTATACACAGCAAAACATACACCAATTCAACCATTTCTACGTGTACAGCTCAGTGACATTGATTACATTTTTCAAGTTGTGCAACCATTCTCACCCTCCTTTTCTGAGTTGTTCCTGCCCCATTAACGTAAACTCACTGCTCCCTAAGGTTCCTGTCTAATCTTGTGAGTTGCTGTTGTCATTTTGATCCCATATAGATGGTTCTTAGAAGAGTATAATGCTTAAGGCAGACATTCTTTCCTAATTAAGCTAGACTGGTTATTTGGTTTTAAAAAGACTTCAGGGGTTATTTATGGTTTAAGGTTTAAAGAATATCTCAGGACAGTAGTTTCAGGGGTTCGTTCATCCCATCTCCGTGGCTCCAGAAAGTCTGGATTTCATGAGAATTTGCAATTCTGTTCTCTCTTCTTCGATCAGAATTCTTCTGTAGAATCTTTGATCAAAATGTTCGGTAATGGTAGTTGGGTACCATCCATTTCTGGTCTCATGGCAAAGGAGGCAGTTGTTCGTGGAGGCAGTGAGCCACACATTCCACATCCTCCTCCTGGTCCTGACTCTCCTTCTTCCTCTGTTGCTCCTGGCAAATAGAGACCAATTGTTGTACCTTGGATGGCTGCTTGCAAGCTTTTAGGACCCCAGGCGCTACTCAGCGAAGTAGGAGGTAGAACAGAAGCACTAACAATGTTACTAGGCCAAATAACTGGGATGTCCCATGAAACCATGACCCTAGACCTCCAAACCAAGGAACCAAGTCCCACGAGGTGTGTGGTTGTACATAAGCAGCCTCAGCAGCTATTTTTTTTTTTGTCTTTATTGTAAGTATATCTATCAATGTTTGCCAATTCAACTTTTTACAGGTATACAGCTTATTGGCAGGAATTACGATAATTGGCTGTGCATCCTGACCCTTAAATCAATGTGATATTTCCTAATCGTTAACTCCCCTCTTTTCCCCCTCTCTCCCACACAAGGTAGCCACTGTTAAACTCTGGTGTCTATACATTTGCCTTTTCTTGTCTTTTTATGTGTGGCCATACAATATTTGTCCTTTTATGATTGACTTATTTCCCTCAGCATAATGTCTTCCAGCTCCATCCATACTGTAGCATGTATCAAGACTTCATTTCTTTTACTGGCTGAGTAGTAGTTCATTGTGTGTACGTACCGTATTTTGTTTGTCCATCCATCTGTTGATGGGCATTTAAGTTGTTTCTACTTTTTGGCTGTTGTGAATAGTGCTGCAATGAACATTGGTGTACCAGTCTGTTTGAGTCTCTGATTTCAAGTCTTTTGGGTCTATACCTAGGAGTGGAATTGCTGGGTCATATGGTAGTTCCATTTTTAGTTTTTTGAGGAGCCATCACACTAGTTTCTATAACGGCTGTACTATTTTGCATTCCCGTCAGCAATGGATAAGGGTTCTAGTTTCTCCGCATCCTCACTGACATTTGTTATATTCTGGATTTTTTTTTTTAGTCATCCTAGTGGGAGTGAAACAGTATCCAATTACGGTTTTGATTTGCCTCTCTGATGGCTAATGATGTTGAGCATCTTTTCATGTGTTTGGTGGCCACTTGAATGTCTTCTTTGGTGAAATGTCTATTCAATTCCTTTGCCCATTTTATGATTGGGTTATTTGTCTTTTTGTTAAGTTGCTGAAGTTTCGTATATATTTTGGTTATTAGATTCTTATCGGATATTCTCCCAATCTGTAGCTTGTCTTTTCAGTTTTGTTATAAAGTCTTTTGATGAACAAAAGTTTTTAATTTGTATGAGGTCCCATTTATTTATTTTGTCTTTTGCTGTTTGTACTTTTGTTTTTATATTATATAATCCATTGTTAAAAGGTAGGCCTGACAGCGTTGCCCCTGCATTTTCTTCTAAGAATTTTATGGTTCTAGTTTTCACATTTAGGTCCTTAATCCATTTTGAATTTGTTTTTGTATGGGGTGTGAGGTCATTAGTTGACTTCGATGAAACATAAAATGAACTTATATGGGCTCCTGCTGCATTTGAGGCTTTGCTCTCTGTACTGGGTTCTCCCTCAGTCCTGCCTCTTTCCTATAACTTGGTGATGGAGTTGGCCACGGCAGCCACATTGTTTACATGCTTCTGGGTTTTCCCCGGGTTTGCAGGCCGCAGGGTACATGGACTGGGCCCTGACATGGGAACCAGGAGGCCTGGCTTCCGTTGAAGGCTCTGTGCCCACTGTGATTTGGGGCCGCTCCTGCTCTCTCTGGACTCAGTTGCCAGCGTCCCCTGTAAAGTGAGGTGGGCGGGTTCAGTGCTGCTGCAGAGGTGTCTGATGTGCTGCTTTTGGGGAGTGGGGAAGGGGTGTGCTGGGGGAAGGATGGGAGGAGCAGGCACTCTGGGAGGGGTGTCTTGGGTTTGAGCCTTGGGGAGACTGCCTGTCCTCTCCGGGCCTCTGTGGAAGGCGGTGACAGTGTTGCCTTGCTCGTGGGCTGCTGTGCAGGTTGAGTGGTTGCGGTCTCTGAGGACACAGGGAGGTGTGGGGGGGCGCGGAGGCCATCATCTCCATTTTCCTTTAGGCCTTTGCCTAAGTCTGCCTGGCTGAGGCGCCACCAAGGGGAGATTGTTGGCACGATCTCTTGGCACTGGGGAGGGCTGCAGAGGCGAGGGATGTCCAGACCTGGCAATGGTGTCTTGAGCCTTGGGCTCGGGGACCACACAGGGAACAGCCTGAACAGAGCCCTCAGCAGGAATGGGCCTGCTGTGCCAGTGGCCTGAGATGGTGCCCCCCATCGCTGTCCCTGCAGAAAGAAGGGGAGTTCACCCTGCACAGCCGGGCCATCCTAGAGATGGAGCAGTACATTCGGGAGACGTACCCTGACTCCGTGAAGATGTGCAACATCTGCCACAGCCTCCTCATCCAGGTACCGCGCGCAGGTGGGCGGGGCTTGGCACTGTTACTGTCCAGAGTTCTCCCTGCTCAGACCTCGGGCGCTGCCTACACATCCTCTGAGTAAGCAGATGGAGGGAATCTCCTTAGAGGTATGCGAGGGTGCCGTGCCTTGCTGCTGCCCATGCCAGCGCACCTTCTCTCCTCCCTGCTTCCTCTTATTCTAGTCCAAGGGTTCTTTGTTGTTTTATTTTTCATCAGAATAGCTCTCGTGAATCTTTTCGTAAGCAACTGCATGATGAACGCTGTTCTCTGTCGGTCAGTGTTCCTCTAGGCCATGGGTTTTAGAGTGCATGCTATCCCTCTGTGAGGCTTTACCACCACTGGACTAGTGCTGGACGTTGGTGTCTCCTTTTTAATTTTTGCTTTTTTGCAGTTGTAAATGACACTGTGATGAGCCTGTCTGCTCATTGATCCTTGGGCACCTGTTGATTATTTCCTTGAGTTGACCTCCTAGAAGTGGAGTTTCTGGGGCAATGAGCGCACGTGCTCTTCTAAAGCCTTTGATCCACATTGCTAGTTGCCCTTCCGAAGACCTGTCGCTGTTTGCCCATCTTCAGGATCTGTGCGTGCAGGGCCCACACGTGCACAGCTTGAGAGCGTCTGGGCGGCCGTGCTGCTCTGCTGGGCCCACCTGCTGACGCTACGTGCTCTGGCCTTGAGTCTTTGGCTTTTTCTGTGAGGGCTGCCAGCATTAACTTGATCAGAATTCTTTGCTTAAACACTAAGGACTCTTGGTATTGTTATTATTAATTTGGGGTCTGGAAGATAAAAATATGTAACCTGCTGGAAGTTTTCCTAGCAGCTTCCCTAAAGGTCTGTGAAACACAGAGGTGTGTGCAGGGACTCACCGCCAGCCTTTCTTGTTGCAGGGTCAGAGCTGCGAAACCTGCGGGATCAGGATGCACTTACCTTGTGTGGCCAAGTATTTCCAGTCCAATTCTGAGCCACGCTGCCCCCACTGTAACGACTACTGGCCCCACGAGATACCAGGTTCGTAGTCCTGAAGAGCTCCCGGGCTAGCCTCTGGTATCTGGTCCCTGGCACTGAGAAGGCACTGGAGACAGGCAGCCCTTAGAAGGGTCCCACAACCTGTGCATTTCCACAGTAGCAGGACTCAAATACCCTAAGTTGAAGGAGCCCCTACGCCAACTTGCTTGCACATTTCCAAAGGGCTGTCTAGAACCCAGTAGAAATTCCAAGGCGTGTGAGGATCTAATCTAGAGAAGGCTCTCTCTGGCAGCCATCTCAGGAGGGGAAGTGAAAGCAGTGTTCACAGCTCCTTCAGTTTGTTGATGTGTAGATTAGGGCTGATTCTGCCTTCCTCACAGGGTGTGTAGGAGGATTAGCAGTGACAAATGCCACAGACATGGTGCAGAGTCCTGGGGCTCAAGGAATGTAGCTGCGGTCACGAGCTGTTGTGCAGCCGGCCCTACCATTCACAGCATCTTCCTGTGCTTTTCTGTATATAGAAATCTTCAACCCTGAGAAGGAGAGGGAGGCTGGTATCTCCACATCGAACAAAAAGTCCTTGCGTTCCAGGCAGCATTAGCAGTGCACAGGGCCGAGGGGCTCCCTGCCTCCAGGAAGAATGAGCAACACAGCCCTGCTTGGAAGAGAGGCAGTCGGGGCTTCACGTTTCATACAAGTTACCTCTTATTCTTTATGTTCACTTATTAGCAAGTTTGGAATAAAACTATATGAAGCAGTTGCTGCAACCTCTGTCTGTGGTCTGAGCCTCTCTCTGTGTGAGATTTTGTGTTGTGGCCTGTCTTAGTTATCTAGTGCTGCTATAACAGGAATACCACAAGTGGATGGCTTTTATTCTCTCACAGTCTGGTAGGCTGAAGTCCAAATTCTGGGTGCCTGCTCCAGGGGAAGGCTTTCTCTCTCTGTCAGCTCTGGAGGAAGGTCCTTGCCATCAATCTTCCCCTGGTCTAGGAGCTTCTCAGCGCAGGAACCCCGGGTACAAAGGACGTGCTCTGCTCCCGGCGTTGCTTTCTTCGTGGTATGAGGTCCCACTCTCTCTCCGCTTGCTTCTCTTGTATCTTGAAAGAGATTGTCTTTAAGACACAGCCTAATCTTGTAGATTAACATAACTGCCTCTAATCCTGCCTCATTAACATCACAGAGGTAGGATTTACAACAAAGAGGAAAATCACATCAGATGACAAAATGGTGGACAATCACAATGCTGGGAATCATGGCCTAGCCAAGTTGACACACATTTTTAGGGGACACAATTTAATCCATGACATGGCCCTTGTTTTTTCTGGAGTTCAGATGAGAACTCAGAATCTTTGGTTTTGGTTCTGAGCCAGTGACGTTAGTGAAGCACCCCCTGCATGACAGTACCCGAGCCATCACTGCTCAGGGCAGCTCACGGTCCTTGGCCAGGGCGACTTTGCCTCAGTCCCCGGCTTTGGTCAGTCATTCCATCGAGACCTGGCTGGCCCTAAGCCTGGACTTGTGAGCCCTGGCCTTGGCCTCCCTAGAATCTGGACCCTCCTCTTGCCCAAGGCGCAGCTGGCCTGAATGGGCCTGAGCCTGGCAGGCTTGACTCCACTTGTGCTCTTCTTCCCTGGGTCCCTTTTGCTTCCTCTCATGAGTGGCAGCCCTGCCCATCCAACTGCTCCTGCCAAAAGCTGGAGAGCCGGCCTAGATGCCTTCTTCTGGCCCTCCTGCATCAATTCAGGCACCAAATCCTGTCCAGTCCACCTGCCAAGTGGCCCTCCAGCCCACAACTCCTGCCCTAGGCCAGGTCCTGCTCTCCCACCTACATCTCTGCAACAGCTCTGCACTGGTCCTGGCTCCACCAGTCGGCTTCCCTGGAGTGATCTTTCCGCAATGCACATCTGAACCTGTCATTCCCCTGCTGAAGACCCTTTGGCTTCCCATTGGCCAAGGGGTTGGGTCTAAATGCTAACAGGACTCACATGACTCAGATGGTGAGCCCCTGCTCATCTCGCTACTTCTCCCATCTCGGCTTTTCATTGGTACAGCATTTCTTTCAGCTTGTAAATAAGACATCCTGTTTCTCACCTCTGAGCCTTTACACGTGTTATTCTGTCTAGATACTCCCCTCTCTTGGTTTCTGCCTCTTCCTTTGCCTGACTAGTAGATTGCTGCCACCTCCATCTTCCTGTTCCCCATCTCCCTACACTTTCTCCATCATCACACTTGCCACCCTATTGTAATTCTGTCTCCCTTCCTCTCCTCTATCCCGATACAGTTAGGGCTCTTCAATTGTTAAGTGACAGAAAACCCAGCTCAAACTGGCTTGAACAAGGAAGGACTTGGCTAGAGGTGGGGCTGGCTTCAGGAGAGCCTTGATCTAGCTCCTGATGTCACCAAGCACCCATATTTCTGTCTGTGTGGAGAAGAGCCTGGCAGTGAGTTGCACTGGTCTGGTCAGTAATTCTTGAACTGACAGAGCCAGGGGTGTTAACAGGAGAGCAGAGCAGTGGAAGATAAGGCTATCTAGACAGGCAGGGGCCAGGCCACAAAGGCCTTGAATGCCAGACTGAGGAGTTTAGAATTTTATGTATGAGTTTTATTTGGGGAGTGCCCAGGAGTGAGGAGATAAGATGCATATTTTAGGAAGTTTGTGTTGGAATCTATGTGAAGGAACTGGGGCAGGGGAGACTGGTCACAGGTGGACACACAACAGTGTCCCCAGAGGCTAAGTACTCAGAGGCCTGCTGGTCACCAGCTGCATTTGAAATGTATGAACATGACAACGGCATAATCAGATCATGCCATTCCTCTCCCCAACACTGTGGCACCTTCCCACTGCTTGTATGATCCAGATTCCCTTCCACGGCTGCTAAGGCCCACGCGATCTGATGCCTCCACCTCCCCACCCTGCTCTCTCTATCCCCACTCCCCTCTGACTCCCTCTGCTCCAGCCCCACTGGCTGCTGCCTTGTTCTCCCAACACTTCCCTATCTGAGGGCCTCTGTACCTACTGTTGGGAGCTTGTTCCTCAAATCTCACGGCCAGTGCTGGACTCCTGCTCATTCAGGCTTCTGTTCAAATCTCAACTTTCAAAAAATCATGTCCCAACCAATCCATCCCCTGCTGCCATTTTCTAACCCTTCATAGCACTTATCACTGCATTATCTTTATTGTCAATCTTCCCCTTGGCCCTCCTCCCTCCAAGATAACATTAAACACCAAAAAAGATTGTGTTTTAATGAATTTTTTCTCTAGTCCCTAACATTAGAATCACTCTACATTATAGTACAATTCTTTAACAGCAGCTGGAGCAGAAGTGGGACCTGCCAGCTGGGACAGATGGGATCATAAGGCTGGGCTGCTGATGGGAGCTGGAGCCAGAGCCCCTCTTGGCCGGGGGCAGAGTGGGGGGTGAGTCACGCATGGGGCCCTTTTGAGGGCAGGGGCTGTCTGGCCCAGAGCCATGTCTTCAGTGTCAAGCACAGGACTTGTGGCATTGAGCAGTTCCTCTCTGTACCTTATGGGCTGCCTGGGTGCATGCTACTTCTCTTTTCATCCAAGCCCACCTTCAGAGTCCACATTCCTCGTAGAACAAAAGCCAGCCCTGTAGCTGGGATTACTAGCGACACTGGAGCCTTGACAATAGGATGTAAGATTTCATCCTCTGTGTTCATCCCATCTGACAAGGGACATTTGCTTGAGGCAGCCAGGGCCCAAGATCGTGTTTTAATGAATTTTTCCTCTACCCCCTGACTTTAGAATCACTCTACATTATAGTACAATTCTTCAACAGTGGCTCAAGCAGAAGTGGGACCTGTCAGCTGGGATAGATGGGATCGTAAGGCTGGGCCGCTGATAGAACTACAGCTGCACAGCTCCTCTTGGCGGGGACAGGGGTGTGAGTCGCCCATGCGGCCCTCCTGAGTTACGGCTCCTCTGTAGTGATGCACTGCCACTCCTCAATAATGGTGATTGCGCTGGGCAGGGTGACATTCCTATTTTATGCCTCACTACCTTCAGTGGCGCTGATATTTGGTGTAAATGCTTTATATAAAAAATTAGGTATTAGTAATGCCAGATAGGGAATAAACAATCTCACAAGTAACTGATCATACAGCCCTGTTGAGTCCACTCTCTAAGCTCTGTTTGCCCCTTCTCCAGGCCCACTGCCCCTGTCCTTGTTCAAGCACATACCTGGATTAGCACCCTGGCCCCCTGCAGGTCTCCCAGCCTGCCCATCCTCTTCCCAGCCAGCAGTCAGCTTTCTAAAATTCATGTTCTGATGTTGTGTGATATATACTTAAAAAAAAAAAAAAAAGAGCAGCTGCCGAGGCTGCTAATGTACAAGCAGACACCTCATGGGATCTAGATTCTTGGTTTGTAGGTTTCGGGTCATGGTTTCATGGGACACCCCAGTTAATTGGTCTCATCATTTTTAGTGTTTCTGTTCTACCTCCTAGTTTGGTGCCTGGGATCTTAAAAGCTCCCAAGTGGCCATCCAGTGTATAACAATTCATCTCTATTCGCCTGGAGCAACAGAGGAAGGAGGAGTCAGGAATAGGAGGAGGAAATGGAATGTGTGGCTAATTGCTTCCACGAGAAAACTCTCCTTGAACAACTGCCTCCTTTGCCATGAGACCAGAACTGTATGGTACCTGGCTACCATTACTGAACATTTTGATCAAAGAACCTATAAAAGAATCCTGATCAAAAGGGAAAACGCAGAACAGAATTTTAAATTCTCATGGAATCCAGTCTTTCTGGAGCCATTGAGGCTGAATGAACCCTTAAAACTACTGCCCGAGGTAGTCTTTAAACCAAAAACAACCCCTAAAGTCTTTTTTAAACCAAATAATAGTTTAGCTTAATTAGTAAAGAATGTCTCCCTTGAGCACTGGGTTCTTTTAAACAACAATCTATATGGGAAAAAATTGACAACAGCAATTCGAAAGGTTAGATAGGAAACCTTAGTGGGCAGTGAGTTTATGTTAATGGTGAAAGAAAGATTCGGAAAGGGAGGGGGAGAATGGTTGCCCAACTTGAAGAATGTAACCAGTGTCACTGAATTATACACATAGAAATTGTGGAATTGGTGTATGTTCTGCTGTATTTTCAACAACACATTTATTTTGACAGTCTCTCTGCTCAAAATTCAGAAGCCCCAAGGCCTACATGATAAGGTCACAGTTCTCTGGCCTGGTCATGGAGGGCATTCATAGTTAAGAGTTTCAGCTGTCCAGCAAGGCTTTCCTTTCCCTCCATTTCTTCTAGTCACCGGGCAGACATGTCCCAGGCCTCACCAAGCAGTCTTCCCTGGAGTTCCTTGACTTGGAGCTGCAGGACAAGCAGCTGTGCCTGTGGGCCATGGAGCTAGAGGATATGGACTGAGCCTGCTGGGACCATCTCCTCCCCCTGTGGAGAAGGCCTATTGCAAGACGGTGAAGAAGGAAACCAGTGGAGACCTACAGAGATGAGGACATCCAGGGGAGGGAGAGAGGCCTGTCCATGGAGGCCTGAGCCCAGGCTTCCTCCTACAGCTCCTCCGGCCATTCTCAGAGCACCTCCAGTGTCCTTTCCTGCTATGGGAGCAATATATCCGTGCTGTTTGTTGGCTTTGTTTTAGCTTAAACCCGTTTGAATTGGGTTTCTATCATGAACTGGATAAGCCCCAGCACATCTGGCCATCAGGGGCATGCACAATCCAGGATCTTGCTGCACCTGTAATTTTATCTTGAACCACTTCCCTTGTCCCACCCTGGGTGCCAGCGGTCCCGACATCACTGTGAGTACTTCAGCCTCGAGGCCCACGCTCCCTTTGTCTCCTTGGAAGATCCTATGCATCCTTCCAGATCAGCTCTGGCCTCCACTTTCTGAGCCCATCCTCTGTCCCTCTGTGTAACCATCTCACATGGCACCCACCTCCCATAGTGCAGCCCACCAGTTCAGTGATCCCTGCCTGCAGGTCAGGCTCCCCTCGACACTGCTGCTCCCTGAGAACCAGGGCTTGCATCCTTTCAGAACAGGCGGCAGTGAAATGTGCTTGAACAAATTATTTTAAAAATAAAATTACATTTATTTTTTTCTGATTTCTTACCTTATTGAAAAATTTGAAATTATAGAGCTAAAAGAAAATTAAAATCATGTATCATTTCATGACTGGCCTGGATACATCCACTAATTTATCTGGAGCATTTTCTTTGGGACATGTACATATGTGCACACACTTATACGTATATACATATATATAAAAATGTCTAAAAATTAAGAGCATAGTGCATTTTACTTAAATGTGACATAGTGAGCATTTCCCCCAACTTTGAATATTCTAAATGTTTGACTGCAGAATAAAATTCCACTGTGTTCATGGCTGTTTCTTACTGACATAATGTAGAAGGTCCCTAGTTAACTGCTATTACAAATAATGCGGTGATGGTCACTGTTGTACATATATGCTTGACCATCTCTCTGTTTCCTTTGGATGGATTTCTAGAAGTGGGAATCATTACATCCAAATGTGAACATGGACATATAATGGTCTTGGTTGCTGCTAAAATTCTGTCCAGCAGGACAGCCTACCCTCAACCCTGAGGACGAGAGTTTTAAACATCTTTCCTAAGTTAGTAATAGGCATCTTTGTTTTACTCTGCATATCTTTTGAGTGTTGGTGAAGCTGCACTAAAAATTTAAGGTTTATTAGCTTTTAAAATTTTCTCTTTTGCGACTGGTTTGTAATGAATGAATTTTTACCTCATGATCACTTGGTGTCATGCATGTTGTCAAAATCCAGATAATACTTGTATAAATGTCCACCAATTTGTGATTCTCCCAACAAGTGGAGGGCATCTCCTGGTGCCAGCTGTTGGGATATGCCTGCCTGTCTTTAGTTAGAGGACTGGGGAAATGCTTTAATGGTCAAAACGTAACACCAACCAAGGTTTTGAGCAGGTTTACAAGCAACCATCTGTCTTTACTGAGAGCCCGGGTCTCTTTTCTGCCTAAAACCCACCCCTGGAGAGTAGTTATCCTGGGGGGAGGGTGACTGAAGGGGCAGGGGAGAGGGGGCTTCTAGGTGCTGGGGATGGTTCTAGCACGTTATGTGGGTTTATCCACAGTTGAAAATCCATCCAGCTAGATGGCATATGCACTTGTCTGTAGGCAGCTTGTACTTCAGTAGCGACCACTGCAGAACTCTCCCCAGCAGAGGTCCAACTCCTGAGCATGCAGGTAAGGCCCCTCCTGTGACCAGGGCTCACCCACTTCTTTCCCAGGCCTGCAGGCTGTGGCCATCCCCACAGGCCCAGTCACGACAGCAAAGTATGCAATGGTCGTAATTTCTACGGCTCGCGACAGGAGCGGTCACTAGTGACTTAGTTGTGGAGCGGCGGGAGCTGCTGCTGCACACGCACACCTCACCGAGAGCTCTGTGCTGAGGACTGGCACTGCCCTCTCGCCAGAGGGAGACTCAGGCACCGTGAAGTGACTTGCTCCAAATCACAATGCAGTGAAGCAGTGGAGCTGGGTTTTGAACGTGGTAAATGAAGCCACTGCACACACTGCTCGTTTCCCATTGTTTCAGGCTTCCTGGTACCTGGGCCTCAGTGTGAGTTGTTGGTCTGCCTGGAATGTCCTTCTGGGTGGGACACCCCTTTCATCCCAATGCCCCTCCCCTGGGCAGCAAAGGCTTCTTCAGGCACAGGCTTAGTCCAGCTTGTCTCTAGATCCCAGGACTCAGCCCCAGGTCAGGCCTAGAGCAGTGACCCCCTTTTATCTGGGCTACGACCACCAGAAGCTGACTGAGAAGCTTAAGTCCAGAGCCCGCACATAGTGCCAGTACTTAACTGGGATGAACAAGACCTCTCCAGGAGACAAGATGCAGGACAGGAACGGGGCCTCAGCAAACTTGGGGAACTTCTCCAAGTCGGGGTTCTCCACGTCAACCTGTACAAACAAAAGGAGTCACTTTCCTCAGGCATAACTGGGCGGGGCATGGGAGGAGGGGGCACAGGGCGGTCTGCGATGTCACAGCGGGTCCGAGGCTCTACCTGGCTCGTGTTATGAAGCAGGTGTGAGTCATGAGGGTATAAAGCCTCTGACTCCTGCGGTGAATACAGCCGGATGTATTTACTCCCAATCACCTGGAAAGAGAGAGACCTCACAGTCAGCCTCCCTGCCCACTGCTGCTGCCCCCGACTGACCCTGCAGTCCCTGGACCAGCATCCCGTCACCCCTCTGGGCTGCCCACTTGCTGTTCCCTGGGCCCCACCACACTTGTGCTCAGAATTCTGAGTGCATGCTTTTGCTCCAAATATGACTCAATGAAGACCTCGTTATTACAGCTAACAGTAATTAAGCAGTTGACTGTACCAAGCACTGTTTTCAGTGCTTTATGCGTGTTAACTTAGTCCTCAAAATGACCATATGAGTGGGTTTATTATCACATCCATTTTACAGAGGAGGAAACTGAGGCACAGAGAGGTTAAGGGAGTTGCCCAGGTTCAAAAAGCTGGCAGGTGACAGAGCTAGTGTTCACTCCAGGCGTCTAAGAACCCCAAGCTCTTGGCCTCTACTGTATTGCCTCTTTGGACTGGTCAGCTTGGCTGTAAGAATGTTCTAATTTATTAAATCTCTGTGCCTACAGAAACTAAAGTCATTTGGCAGCAGTGGTAAGATGCCCCGCCCCTCCCAACACACACAGTCCTCTCACTGGGTCCTAGGAAGACCCCTCCTTCCCCTATGAGCCACCCTTTCCTTATCTGGAGCAAGAGTTCCAGCAGGAAGAAGCTGACTTGGTTCCAATGGGTGGTAACGTGAGGGCAGGGGAGAGGCTGGGCTGCCAGGACGGACACTCACTCCCTGCCCTGACTGGGGAGAGAGCCCCACCATGAGGCCTGGCACCATTTCTCTTTTTTCATTTCATTTCATCTGCTGCCGTGCCTTTGTTTTTCTTTTTAAGAGCCTGGTGTGGCCAGGCCCCATGGCTGGGCCAGGAGGAGGGACAAGCTCCACAGCAACTCCAACCTGGGCTAGGAAGTTTTGCTGGGGATCCTGATGAAGTGGGGAGACGGTTCCTTGGGGACCAAACCAGGCGTTAATGGTGATCTCGTCTTCCTCCCCGTTGCCCAGGCAGCAGTAATCAGGGATGCTGATGTCCTGCTTCAGCTCTGGGATCTGTGGGTGTTGGGACAGACACGGCAGGTCAGAGACCAGGCCAGCACACACCAGCATAGAAACTGACTGACTACTGGGTGGAGGGCCACTTGTGTGGTAATACTATCACATCACATTTTACTGTCCAGGAATTCAAAAACACTTAAAAATATATACAATCAGCAGGAAAGAGGTGTAATTTTATTTTCAGATCTGTTTCACTATCGAATGCATTTCGTTATTTGCTTCCTTTTTAAAAAACCTGACAGCAGCGCTTTATACTTAAAAACATCAGCTTATAATTAAAAAAAAAATATAGTTATTTAAAAAAATCAATTAAAGAAAATGGGATTGAATATTTATCAACTCTCCGGAGGGGAAGTTTTTCTAAACTTTACTAATGGTAAAAATCCATGGCTGTCAAGTTGATTCTGACTCATAGCGACCCTATAGGACAGAGCAGAACTGCCCCACGGGGTTTCCAAGGGGCAGCTGGTGGATTCGAACTGCCGACCTTTTGGTTAGGAGCCGAATGCTTAACCTGTGCCACCAGGGCTCCTTACTAATAATAAATAAATCATAATTGGTACATTTTAAACAATTAGTATAAAGGCCAACCAACTAGTTAACTTACTTGAACGGAGGTAAATGAGGGGTTAATGTACACAGTTCATACAAATTAATAAGGAAAAAAAGATACTCATACATAAATTACGCAAGTAATCAAAGGACAAAAACCAGATAACACACGAAAACTAATTAGAAATAAGGAAAGGTGTTTGGTCTCATTTGCAAATAAGTTCAAATTAAATCAACAATGGGTCACGGGCTTCCCCTAATCAAATGAGCACAGATTTACCAATCGATAACACGCAGCGGTGGTGAGGATGTGGTAAATGGGGCGCTCTCCTGCAGGGTTGCTGGCGACGTAAATGGGTAAAACTATTTAGGCAGCAGCTTGGTGATGTGCAGAAGAGTCAAAAGCTGTTCACATTCTCTGGCCCAGGTGGCACTGAGTCTGTGCCGTGTTTCTTTGGGAAGAGGTGTTGGAGGGCCTCAGAGGAAGTGACGTCAGGGCTCACCAGGTGGGGCACTGCTGGCTCAGCCATCATCAGGGCTTTGCAGTGATAAGCGTGCATGACAAGCTGATATTTTAATAAGACAATAATCACTGTTTCCCGAGTGTTTTCTTATATCCTACATCTTTCCCCCAGCCCCCTCACCCTCTTTCTGACGTCTTTGCCTCAGGGAAAGGGTGACTCAAGGGAACACATAACAAAGATGTGGGCTCTTGGCTTCTGACTTTAAAAGCCTAGTGTGGGCATCCAGCACTTGCTGCTGTACCCTGCAGAGTCAGGACTGCGCACAGAAACTGCCTCTGAGAAGGGCAGGCCACTCCCAGGTCTGTGAATGAAGTGAGGGCAAATCCCATGTCTTGGACATCTTCACTTCAAACAACGTTCCCAACCAGATTCCAACTTCAAGCGTGGCTGGTTTCTACTTTATGGCTTTAGCACATGGGATCCTTTCAGGGATCAAACAAGTTTCTGTTCAATTCCTCAAAGCCTGAGAGCCACGTGTCAGCAAGCACATCAGACAAGCTTGGAGGTCAGGGCAGGTGGGGCTGCAGTGTTCCAGCCTCATTTGGAAAGAACCAGGGTCTCAAAGTGAAGAAATCACGCACTCTGCCTGAAACCACTTCCTGACCAGACCTTCAGAAGGTGCCGTCGTTAACTTCAGGGTGGAAACCACCACAGCTGGGCTTCTGCTCCCAACTCTTCAGATGGGGTTCAGCTCTCACTTAGCTTGACCCTTGGTGAACTTGTGTCTTCCCCTTTCTGGGCACGGACCCTCCCACCTAGCACTGCTCTCTCGGGGAACCCCTGCTGTGTCCCACCATGGGGCCTGGCCAAGGCCATACGGCCAAGTTCTTCAGGCAAGACGAGCCCTCCTGGACCTCCAGCTCTATCTAACAAGTTGTTTAGGTTCCAGATTTCAGGGTCTTCCTGGATATTCCCTTTCTCTCAAGCCCCACACGTCCGACCAATCTCCAAGTGCCAGCAGTTCAGATACCTCAAACCTCTCCACTTTCCCAACCTCCAAACTAGTCCTTCTGCTTCCACGCTTGGGTACCTTCAATTCATTCTTGAAACAGGAGCCGCAGGGATCCCCGAAACACTTAAAACCCTCCACATTAAGAACAGCCTTCGTAATCCAGTCCCCTGCCTACTTCTCAGGCTCTTCTGCTACTTCCCTCCCCCACTCATGCTCTCCAGCCATGCTGCATGTTTCTGCCCCTGAATGTGCACGCTCACTCTGTCCTCACACCTCCACACTCCTGGTGCCTCCCAGCTGGCGAGGCCCTTCTGTCTCAGGACTATAGCTCATCTTTCGGGTCACTGCTCACACACTGCCCCCTTACAGAAACCTTCCCTGGCTGCCCTTGCTAAGGCCCCCAGTCACCGTCATCAAGCCACCTCTCTCACGTTCTTTGAGGTACTCACCGTCTGATGCATTTTGCCTTTTAGGTCACTATGGGAGGGGAGTGACCCTGTCTTCTTTACCCCTGTGTCCCCAGTGCCCAGCATAGCACTTGGTGCAGAAGAGGGACTCAGAAGGACCCCCGCCCTAAGGGCAGTGCTCCCAGTATGCATCCTGGTCAAGACATGCATCCACCAAGTACAGAACTGATCAAGTGAGTAGGGCACGGGCGAGAGGGGCAAGGAGAGGCAGGCAGAAAACCAAACTGTGAAATCTCCTCAGGATGAGCCCTGCTCTAGTCAGTTTAGCTTTTTAGCTTCCTAACTAGACAGCTTTGAAAATGCAAAACACAATCCAATTGCTGGTACGCTACTCTGTTCTCTTACTTTGTTTGCATTTAAAAATAAAGTTGATTTTTTTCTCATCTGATGATTATACCAACCTGTTGCCATCAATTGCAACTCATAGCAACCCTATACAGGGTAGAACTGCCCCATAGGGTTTCCAAGGAGCAGCTGGTGGATTTGAACTGCCGACCTTTTGGTTAGCAGCTGAGCTTTTAACCACTGCGCAACCAGGGCTCCCTGATGATCATACATACTCATTACAGAGGATTTGGAAACCACAGAAAAGAGAAGGAAAAAACCACTCACCGTCCCTCCACCCACAATCACTGTTAATCTTCTGTAGCATTTCTTCCTGTCTTTTAAGATAATTTTGAGATCACTCTATATACAATTATGTGTCCTGATTTTCTCTCTTAACGCACGACTGGCCATCCCTACGTTACCACAGCCTCCACCTGAGTGTCACGTGGCAGCTGGGGCGCAGCAGCTCACCGAGCGCACGGTCACCAGGGCCCTGGGGACAGGCAGAGCCTGATCCGGGTGATGTGGTGGGCCTGAGCTCGATCCTGCACTTCTGAAAGCTCTGGTGAGGCCAGTGCTGGTTGGGGCCACAATGAGGGACAGCTCTAGAACTCTTCATGTTCTGTCCTTAAGGGGCTGATGTGGCCGAAGAAGCAGTGAGAGCAGTGCCTGCCCCTGCAGGAACACATTCTGCCTCTCCTCTCGCTCCACAAGCACCCACCCTTGCAAGTTCCCTGGTGCTCCTGTTGGATTCTTTCAGAAACATCACTTCTCATCAGGGAACTCTCCTGCTCAAATGCCTCCCAAGGCTTCTCGATGCCTCACAGATAAAACCCAAGCTCCTGGTCTCGCCTTCAAGGCCCTCCACCCTCCCCCTTCCACCTTATCCTTGCTCTGCTCTTTGAAACAAACCTTTCCAGGTGGCTGCCGCTCCTGGTACACGGGACTCTCTGCCCCTGTCTCTCATGTGTGAAGTCCTCTTGCTGGGAATGTCCTCCTGCCTCCAGCGTCGCCGAGTCCTACTCTTCCCTCTCAGCTCCAGCCAAGTCCACCTCCTCTTCTCTTCAACAAGTATATCCCAATGGTCTTCTATGTGACCAGCCAGGACTGGGTACACAGAGAAACCAAACCCTGCCCCTACCCACCAGAGGTACCCAGGCCCAGGCAACAGCCATGTCAGCAGCCTCTTGAGATAAGGACAGTATCGGGCATGCACAGAGAACTCTGGGTGTTCTGAGGAGGCAGGGACTTGCCCTTTCTGGGTTGGATCAGAGCTTGCTGCCTTTGCCTGGCGTAGTGATTAAGAGCACAGCTGCTGAACAAAAGGTCGGCAGTTCAAATCCACCAGCTGCTCCTCAGAAACCCTATGGGACAGTTCTACTCAACTCGACAGCACCTAACAAGAAGAAGAAGTCCCTGCCTGGCTCCCTGGGACCTGGTTCCTCAGTCCTAACCACTCTGGGACTTCTAACTAGGTGTCCCCTCTAATCTGCCTGTGGCCTCTTCAACCCCCCGCCCATGCTGGAGCGTCGCCCAGTCCTGGACTCCTGGACTTAGCACGCCAGCCTCAGGCCTGGCGGCTTCACTTGTGCAAATAATTCCCTTTGGTGAGGTGGGAACAGAGCAAGCCACAGGAGGGCTCCCTCACCCACTGCAGAGAGCGGCACCAGTGGGTGGGCGGTGTCAGACCCTTTCCTGCCTCTCAAGTCAGAGCTGAGGAGGGGGAAAGAAGAAGGTGAGAAGCTGAAAGGGAGAGAAGCATGGTCTCCAGACTTACCTGCTCAAAGAGCTGGTGCTGAGCAAGGTACCCGACATCCTTCGGCTAATCCACAAAAAAAAAGCAGAGGTGACAGAAACTCCAGTGAGCTGGGATGACGCCCTCCTGGTTGGTGGCTCTCAGCCCCTGGTGTGCCCCACCCCGCCTGCCACCCAATGGTGCCCCTCCCACCCCATGCTGCTTGGCCCTCCTCCCCAACCCCTGCAGGCTTCCTTCCTGGGCTCAGGGATCCACCTCTCAGGAGCAGGGCTGGGCTGAGGGCCAGGAGACTTCGGCCTTGTTCTGCCTGTGCCACTGATGGATGGCTGCCCTAACTAAGTCACTCCTCCCACCCCGTGCCCCTGAGGCTCAGTTTCCTCAAATGAAAACTGAAGGGGCTGTACAAATGTGAGGATGTTTCAAATAAAAATAGGATTGCGCTAGTAATATACATATTACTTTGAAACTTGCTTTTTTCACTTAGTGATACATCATGAATCTCTCTTCAGGTCAATCTATACACATCTAACTCATCTGCTTTGATGGCTACATAACGTTTCACAGAATATATATTATTAATTCAACTACTCCCCTATTGGAAGACATTCAGATTGTTTTGCTCATGTTTCACCAAATATCCTTAAATACCAGTCCTTACTTTTTTGTGGTACAAGCATCTAAACACAGAACTATTGAGTCGAGAGGTACGTGCATTTTAACTTTTAATAGGTTCTGCAAGTTATTTTCCCAAAGGTTAAATCATTTATATTCTTACCAGCAATTAGTGTGAGTGCCCGTTTTCCTATCTTTGGGTATTATTGGATAGCATCATCTTGTAAAATACTTTGCCAATCAGATGGGTAAAAAGGTCAGTACTTTTCAAACGGGGCTCCACGGTGCTCAAGGGGTTCCCTGCATATGCTGGAGGGGCCTCTGGGAAGGTCAGATGGGGCAGGGCAGATGTGAGTCTGGGGACCAGTCCTACCTAACAGCAGCCACAGCAGAACCTGCTTTGGTCTCGGAGCTCTGAAGCTAATACTGCACAGAAGGTCCTGGAAGTAGACTGAAGGTCCCTCTCTACAATCCCTCTGTCCATCCATCCCTCTCCTTCATTCCTTGTCCTTTCTTCTTTCCAACAAATGCTACTAAGAGGTTGCCATGTGGCAGGCCCTGTGCCGTGCTCTCTGCCTCCCAGATATCCTGGGCGAGAGGACCCTGACTGCAAACATCTACCAAGCACTGACCATGCGAACTGCGCTAAGAGCTTTATGTTTGAACCTTCACAACATCGCTGTGACATACGCATTATCTACCTCGTTTTATAAGTCATGTACTAAGGATTCAAGGGGTTACATAACCAGCCAAGGCCTTACAGCTAGCAAGGGAGGAGCTAGGATTCGACCCTGTTCTGACTAATCCAAAGCCCATCGGCCACGCCACTCTGTGAACTGGCCCTAGTTAGGCCTCTCTGCTCTGCAGACAGGCTCCTCCCAGCAGAGGGCAACAGCATCAGGCCTTCCCAGGTGGCCTGGCAACGTGGTGACTCCACAGCTCCCTTGTCCAGGCCTCAGGTGACAGTGAACTGAGTGGAGGTGAGGTGGGAGGGGATGAGTACAGAAGGCAGGAATGGACAAGGGTCAGTGAGCCCTGATAGGAAGCCACCGGCAGAGAATGACCCTCAGTGCCCATGGAGGAGGCTGGAGATACAGGAGTGAGGGAGATGGGTGGGAAAGGTGGCAGGGAGGGACAGGGGTGCTGGGTGGTGCCTCAGGAGTTCAGTAACAAGGCCAGGAAGGCCTGTGGGAGAAACTGTTAGGCCAGCACGATCATTGGCCTGGACACTTTGATTGCAGCAGGTGCATGATTAAATGTGATTGGAACTTTCAGTGACTGGGCCTGGTCCTGCCTTTGGGAGTGGGTTGTTGAGGAGTGTGTGGAAGAAGTGCAAACCATTGATGCTAAATCCTTGCACCCTTGTGAAGGACCCTCCCTTAGGGCCAGGAAAGGTGGCTGAGACCATAGATTCTGGGCGAATGTCCCTTTCCCTACTGTCTGTGCACCCACTGCAGGCTTCTCTTGTTCTGACCCAGCAGGAATGGTGCAGCCACTCTAGGGCTTGGCAGGCTCTGTTCTCTGTGACCTGGGTCTAAGAAGAGGAAGCTACCCACCACCCTTACTGTTAAGAATCTGAAAAGATAAAATGGTGTGGCTGCCTCGAGCAATGTCTGGCAGTTCCTCAAAAAGTCAAACATGGAGTTACCATATGACCCAGCAATTCCGCTCCTAGGGTGTACACAAGGGAACTGAAAACATAGGTCCTGACAAAAGCTTGCACACTAATGTTCACAGCAGCATTTTTCACAATAGTAAAAAAGCAGAAACAACCCAAAAGTCCACCAACTGATGAATCGATAAACAAAATATGGTATATATCCATCCAAAGGAATATTACTTGGTCATAAAAGGAATACAGTACTGATACATGCTGTAACATGGATGAACCTTGAATACACTATGCTCAGTGAAAGAAAGAAGGCTGACGTAAAAGGCCACCTCTCCTGTGATTCCACTTATATGACATGCCCAGAATAGACAGATCTATAGAGACAGAAAGTGGGTTAGTGGTTGCCAGGGGCTGGGGAGAGGAGAATGGGGAGTGACTGCTGACGAGTACGGGGTTTCTTTTAGGGGTGATGAACATGTTCTGGAATTAGACAGTGTTGATGGTTGTATGATCTTATGAATATACTACAACCAATGAATTGTACAAAAAAAAAAAAAAACCCCACAAAGACTCTGAACTGGGTCCCTGCTGTCCTGTCTGCCCAGCAACTTTCCTTCCTTGCTCTGACCATCCTCTGACCTGACTTTGTAGGCTAATTCCTCCAGAAAGCTCCCACTACTACCGTGGAGGTTATCTGCCCAAACACAACATGCTCTCTCTCCTAAGTGTCAGAGGAAACAAGTCAAAGTGACCTACCTCATCCACGACGTATCTGCTGATGAACTCGTTGACGGTCATGAGTGTCTGGGACCAGTCTTCATCTGTGTACTTGGAACCTACTTCCACTGGGACAGTTCGGCAGCCAGCAATTTCCTGGATATATTCCAAACTATTAGAAAAATATACACTGTTGTTATCATCATGAATGTTGCTAACACTTATGGGTACCGCCAGTGTTGGGTGCTAAGTGTGCTTAACATGCAGTCTCCCACTTAATCCTCACAAAACCCCTACGAGGTAGAAACCACTGTTATCCCCCACTTTACTGACGAGGAAACTCAGGCACAGAGAGGTAAGGTTGCTTGCCCAAGGTCACACAGCTAGTACATGGCACTGGGTAGCTTTGCAGATCGAGCCAAAAAATCTGATTTGCTGACATTCCTGCTGGGCTGCTCTATTTCCCTACTTGCTCCTCTCATTGTTCAACTTGGCACTAAGCAGACGAATTGTCTTTGAGCAAATGGTGGGCAGTCCAGGGGGGCGGTGAAGTGCCTGGCCTCTGAACTCCAGTGGCCCGGGTCAGACTCCAGGCCCAGCCAGTTACCGACCAGGGACCTTCAGCAAGTTACTTCACCTCTCCAAGTGCCCCTGTTCCTCATCTATAAAATGGGGATGATGACCTTAGCTGCCTCATGGAAACCAGGGCGGGTAAAAGAGATGAAACATGGCAAGTGCCCGCTGGGGCCTGGTACTAGTGAAGCTAGTAACGAACACTTGCTATGATGCGGCACCTGCATCAAAATTCCTTTACACACACACATCTCAGTGGGAGCCACTGCCTCCAAAAACCAGCACCACAAAGACAGGCCGAATGGATGGACCCTTCTTAAGACACAGGGCCTCATTTCCGGAATGCTGCACAGCCGTGGCATCACGGACAACCTCCAGCTGCCTGGTGAATCTGAGAGGGATGAGGAGGATAGAGCAGACGTGCCGAGGCAGTAACCACCAGGGACCAGGGAGCCCCAGCGGGTGGGGGTCGGGGGAGGGGGTGCTGTCTCTCGGGTTTTTATTTCTACTCTTAAACTCCACAGCTCTGAGAAGGTCCACAGAGTTCCTGAGATCCTGCAAACTTGGATGACAGATTTAACATGAGGATACCATTTAGGCACTTGTTAAAAAAACTAGTCAGGGCAAGCAAGCAGTTGAAGGTAAGAATCTTAAAACCTCTGGCATAAATTCAGAGCACTGTACTTTTTATTCTATTTAACCCCTCAGCGATCAATCCCAGGGGCTGGTAGTAAAGTCCGCAAGGCTGCATTTACTTGGGGATGAGGGGGGAAGTAAGGGAGTCCTCGATGGACCCTAAAATGGGAAAAGGGACCTCATTGCCCTTGAGTGGCCACCCACCTCCACTTCTTCATGCATGGCCAGTGGTTGGCCACGCCTTCCAAGATCACAGGTCTCTCTGGAACCAAAAAATGTTTCTTGAAATACTCGAGGGATGGGCAGTGAAGGCGGGGGACTGTTCTTTCTAACTTCACATCTGGAATCGGAATGTGATCACTCCTTGCTTTCTGTTTAAAAAAAAATTGAAACAAAATGGCAGCAACCACAGAAAGTGAAAATTTCAGGTACTCCATGACGAATCAGGAGGAATCTGCAGCAACAGGAAGATAGCTTAGGTGCCAGTAATAACAATAATAGTAGATGAGATCAAGATGTTTCTTCTCTACCACCTCATTAAGAAGCATGTCTGTTCAAATTATATGTATATTGCAATATATTGCTTTTACAGAAATCCTGCAATAGAGAAGAAAGCTTATCCCCCTAAACTCCACCATCTAACTTACAAGTATTCTTTCTTTTTCTTGTATATTCCTTTCCCATCTTTTCACACATACTTATCACTGATTTGCTGGTAGATAGATTCATGATGAACACACAACCCTAACTCTTCTATCCAGTAATTCATCTAAAGCAGCTTCCATGCCGCTACCCAGTCCTTATACTTTGAGTGGCTACACTGTAATTTACTTCACCATCTCCCAAATGGATGACCTGAGCAAGTGACTTCCTGTCTCTGAGCCTCCGCTGCCTCATCTGTTGGGAGGTAAGATGCCCTAAGTTCCCAGGACTAATGGCTGGCACACGTCAGCCCCGCGCTCCCACCGCTGGACCCCACATCGCTCATTTGCATGAACAACCACAGGAGTGGCGGCAGCAAACATTCTTCCTGCAGCCGATGCGTTAAGGCCTTTGTGTTCTCTCTTTGGCAGGCTTTCCTTTTCACATACCCCATCATCAAAGAGGCTTTCCCTGACTGCCCTGTCTGAGGCCAGCGACTCCATCTATCTCACCATCTGAGACAGGAAGTTCTTTGACAGCCTAGCTAGAAGGTAAGCTGCAGGACAGGGTCAGGGCTGATTTGTGCTGCTCCCTCCAACCCCAGCATATCTGGGCCACTGCTGTTGCTAATAAAGCAGCTGAGCAAAGCCTGCTCTACAAGGAAGAGGATGGAGGCACCCAAAGGCCAGGACACTTGCCCGAGTCACATGTGGTGAGCGCAGGCTGACTCCAAGCCTGAGCTCTTGCCCCTCTACCTCATACACTGCTCCGACACTGCCCTATGCTGGAGATCACCTCGGGTGTGAAGCCCCCTCCATATTCCCTTGGGACAGACTTGGCCGGGGGGCAGGGAGGGGTCAGTGTGGCACCTGGGTAAAGGGTACAGACAGTTTCCTTTCATCTGCATGTTGCTTTGCCCTCTAAAAGATCAACCACCACAACATGCCCTTGGCCCCTCGGCTCCTCCGCAGCCCTGGGTATTGGATTAACCATTGTTTGCTAACGTAACAGCCCAAAAGGGGCATCTTGCCGCTTTTGCGGTTTGCAGTTCTCTTTTTGTGACCAGAGATGAGGTCAAACATCTCTCCGTATGTTTGTTTAATAGACCAATTTCCTCCTTGTGTACAGTCTGTTCGTGCTCCTGGCCTATCTCCTGAGGCCCAAGATTTCTCCCTGTTCTGTGTAACATCTGCTCATGTGATAAAGATATTCACTCTCTGATACGTTTGCTGTAAAAACTTCTCTTCCCAGTTTGTAGGACTTCCTTTTAGTTTGGTTACACGCATGTGCCTTTACTGACTTCCATTTGCATTTGTTCTGATATATAAATAATACCCATTATAGGAAAATACAAAAAAGTATTTAGAAAAAAATGTAAAAGCACCCATAATTCCACTCCCAGCATCCAGCACATTCCTGGCTCTTTTCTTTCTGGGGCCATTTTACAGACGAGGAAACTGAGGGTGAGGGGAGTTAGCTGACTTGCCCAGCAGTACTGGGAGTGAGGCCTGTGGTTCAGTGCTGGTTCCTAGGGAGCCACCCTCTATCTGTAGGATGCCCTCTGGCACACACACTGAAATACCAGAAACTACACAGGCAAGGACCCAAGGCCTGTGACAGACTGGTCACCTGGAACAGAAGTCAGCCAGTTGCAGTGTCTCATCTGACCTCAGCAGCCAGGGACAGAGGCAGCCAGGACAGTAGGAGACACTTCAGCAAGCTGACCAGGAAAAGGCTGCAAGAAACGGGCTAAGCTGGCGGCAGCTCACCCACACAATCAGTCTGCGCTGTTTCTCTCAGGAACCACCAGGCTTCCACCCTCCTTCTCCCCTGAAAGGGCCCTGCTTTTGCAGAAACTGAAAACAAAAAAAAAAAAAAATTAAAAACTGAGAAGATAGCCTGAGCTGCTCCATTTCCAAAATCCACAGAGACACCATTCTCAGGCAGGGACGTGTCGGCATTTCACGGGCCTTGTCCTGGTGGAGAGGCAACTCAACACTTCCAGAAAAACGTGCTGTCGGCTTATGCTAGGGGTGGTCAGTGACACTCTCACCCGATACCTTTGTGCTGGGCTGCTCCCAGGTCGGGCCTTGGGCAGGCCTTTTCTCAGAGGGAAGGTGTGCCTGGAGGATGGTGGCAACTTTAATGAGGACATCCCCAAGGATGGCCGCCCCCATCAGCAGGCCCATGTCGCAGACCCTCAGGGCTGCAGCCACGGCGGCAGTGTCCCCTGGCATCTCACACAGACACACGGCTTTCAGAAGGCAGCCAAAGGTGTAAACCTGTCGCCAGCCTTTGTCCACATCCTGCCACGGCCCTGTGTTGAGCTTCTCCCAGGAGTAGTCCAGGATCATCTCGCTTGTCTGCAGACACTCACTCCTTCTGCCCCCGTAGAAGAGCTCAGCAGCTCGCTCCAGCAGCAGAACTACACTCCTCTCCACTTTTTCACCAACGTCCAATTTCAAGCCTTCTTTCGTGGGTGGCAGGAGTGCCCTGAGGGCCTCCCAGAGGGCACCTGTTCCTGCCTGGGGGTCTCCAAGATGGTTGGTGCCTTCTGCCATCTGGCTCCGTCTCACAGTGCCTGATGGAGGAAGAAGCAAAGGTTACAGACCACGAGCAGCCTTGGTCCCCTAAGACATGTTCCTACAGCTCCCTGTTCTTGTCCTTTCTAACACGCATCTCATCTGTGACAATTTTTCAACAATAATCTTCCCTGGTAGGCATAAACTCTGTGAGGCGGGACCCACATCTGTCTGGGTCACCACTGTATCCTCGGGGCCTGGCACAGCTCCTGGTTATGCAGTGGGCACTGGATAAATGTTTGTTCAGGGAGGGACATGCACTTTTGCTTGCCTGGAATGCCTCCAACATCCTTCCTCTGCCTGGCAAACTCCTAACCAACCTTGAAGGCCCATTTTAAATGACCCACTGTCTGAAGCTCGCCATGACTCTCCAAACACGTTCTGGGTTCCCACGTGTGAGCCTCTTGCAGCGCTTGTCACAGTGTACTACAAATACCTGCTTGTATGTCTGTCTCTCCAGTACTAGACTGTGAGTTCCTCCCGGCCAAGAATGAGCCTCATTTCTCTTTATTTTCCTATAGCCTAAAATCAGGCCCTGGCTCATAGTAGGCACCTCATAGGATGTTAAAGGAATAAGTTCTTAACTCCTCAGGAAGAAACTTGGAAATACATAACACCTACACAGAAAGGGAACTCCTTGGGTGGTGCAAACAGTTAATGTGCTCGGTTGCTAACCGAAAGGATGGAGTCCTCCCAGAGGATCTACTTCCGAAAAACGAGCCTCTGGGTGGACTTGAACCTCCAACCTTTAGGTAGTAACTGAGCACATTAACTGTTTGCACCACCCAGAGACTCAGCCTCCTGGAGGACTCATAAATGTCTCATGTGAACCTCCTCAACAGCCTTCCTGGACTTCCAGAAAAGCTGCACAGTCCAACCCGCCAGGGCTGTCTCATCCATTTGCCACACGAATGACAACACGTGGGCTTATGGAAGGGATCCACCAACTGGCCTCCCTGGATGTCTCATCCCCTGAGCATCTTATAAAGCAACCTCGAAAAGTCTCACCTTGAGCATCTAAAAGACAAAAGGCTTCCCTAACAACCACTTATCTGCCTTACTATAAAACTGGCTTCCACTGGGGCCTTAGGTACCAGCTTTATAAATTGGCCTCGTAGAGTGGCTTTATAAAACAGCCTCCCAGAGGGTTTCAAATGGGCGATAAACTAGTTTTCCTGGGACGCTGATTATGGGCTTTGTAAACCAGCCTCCCAGGATTTTATAAAATGGACCCCCATAGAGCACATAAGGATCTTACAAAGCCAGCCTCCTAAGGCAGCCCAAAGTGCTGCTTCATAAACCTCCTTCCCCAAGTGGCTTCATGCTTTGCTTTGTAATCTAGCCCCACAAGGTGGCCTCATGTTTGGTCTTCAGAAAGCAGCCTCTTACGCTGCTTTGCAAATTGGCCTTGGAGGCTGGTTTGTGTCATGCTGACCATGACATACCCTCTTGAAGACCATGTGAAAAAGCTTTCTGGGAAAGAGGCCTCAAGTTGGCTATACAAGTCTCCTCCCGGCCACATGAAATAGCCTTAGAAAAATTCCAGAGTTCCTCAGTGAATGGCCTTATAAGGCCTTCAGGGACACTTATGATGGCACTGTTTGACTGTCTTCCAGGGTTGGGAATTTCAGGAGAGCTGTATGAGTTAGTTTTCAAAGTGGCTTTCCAGATTGCCTCTGTATTAGCCACTTGAAATGGCCTCTCACAAGGCCTCATGATTGACTTTAAACACTGGCCTCCCAGAGGGCCTTATGCTGACAGCATGAAGCAACTTTCCAAAGTGAAGTGGCATGTGACCACATCAGGCTGAGTGGTCTTATGGCCTGATTCCATACGATTCTCAGAACCTCTTTTAACTTGGCCTTCTAAAAAACTGTCGTATCAAAGAACCTTTGGGAGAGTGTCATGGATTGAATTGTGTCCCCCCAAAATATGTGTCAACTTGGTTAGGCCATGACTCCCAGTATTGTGTGGTTGTCCTCCATTTTGTGATTGTAACTTTATGATAAAGAGAATTAGGGTGGGATTGTAACACCCTTATTAAGGTCACACCCCTGATCCAATGTAAAGGGAGTTTCCCTGGAGTGTGGCCTGCACCACCTTTTGTCTTACAAGAGATAAAAGAAAAGGGAAGCAAGCAAAGAGTGGGAACTTCATACCATCAAGAAAGCAGTGCCAGGAGCAGAGTGCGCCCTTTGGACCAGGGTCTCCTGTGTGGAGAAGCTCCTAGTCCAGGGTAAGACTGATGACAAGAACCTTCCTCTAGAGCTGACAGAGAAAGCCTTCCCCTGGAACTGATGCTCTGAATTTGGACTTCTAGCCTAGATTGTGAGAGAATAAACTTGTTTGTTAAAGCCATCCACTTGTGGTATCTGTTACAGCAGCACTAGATAACTAAGACAGGGAGGAACCACACGCTGCTATATTAAAGTCTTCCAAAGGAGCCTCATAACTTCTTTTAAATACTGGCCTCCTTACACATTGGGGCCTTGTCTGAAGGCCAGGTGAAATGGCCTCTCAGATTTTGTTGTAGTTTTAGAAACCAACCTTCAATATGGTTCCTTATAGTGCCAGGATTCTATTGGTTGTGTCCATCAACTCTCCAGAGGGCAGTCTCATGTTGGCTCCTGTTAGCCATGTGGAAATAACCTTTTAGGAGAATGGGCCTTACTCTGGCTGTGAAACACTTTCTGTTGGTTGTATGAAACACTTTTCCAAAGGAGCAGGCCACATATGGGTTGCAAGAAGCAGCCTTCAGACAACAAACCATTTGTGATGGCCTTACCTGTACAGGCTGTGTGAAATTGCCTCTCTGAATGGCCTCATGTCCTGGCTTTACAAATCAGCCTTCCAGCATGACCCACATGTTAGTCTGATAAAAATCTTCTTCAATAGTTGTATCAGGCAGTTTTCCAGAGGAAGGGATCAGCTTGAGCAGACTGGTGGCCTGGCTTTATTGATTGGCTCCCCAGAGCTCCTCACAGAATTGCTTTTCAAAAAAGGTTATATTAAACAAACAGTATTCCAGAGGAGGGAGCCAGGTATAAGTTGTACGAAATGGTCTTTCAGAATGGTACCGTAGACTGGCTTTTAAATTGGCCCCCCAGAGTTCCACAAAAAACGGCTTATTGTGGGTTGTGTGAACAGCCTTCTGGTTGTCAGGTATATTGTTAATTGCCCTTGAGTCAATTCTGACTCACTGTGACCCCATGTGTTACAGAGTAGAACTGCTCCACAGGGTTTTCTTGGCCATAATCTTAATGGAAGCAAACTGCCAGGCCTTTTTTTTCACAGTATTACTTGGTAGGTTCAAACCTCTGGGTTAGCAGTTGAGCACAAACTGTTTGCACCACCTAGGGACCTTGTTGTCAGGTATGCTGTTGTTGTGTGCCATCAAGCTGATTCCGACTAATAGTGACCCTACATGACTGAACAGAACTGCCCCATAGGGTTTCCTAGGCTGTAATCTTACTGGAGCAGATTGCTAGGTCTTTCCTCCCTAAAAGAGTGGCTGGTGGGTTCAAAATACTGACCTTTCGTTAAGAGCCAAGCATCTAACCACTGTGCCACCAGGACTCCTTTAGTCAGGTACAGGTGGATATAATTCATCCAAACCAGGATGCTATATTTATATCTGGACAATACTCATAAGCTTGGGTTACTTCAGTTGAATTGACACCTATAGTCACCCTAAGTATAGGCCATGTGACAAAGACCAAGTGGCTTTGTATTTTCACTTAACAAGTTGGTCTCCCGGAGCTCAACTGGTATTGGTCTTAAAAGACCTCGGTGATCACAGAAAGCTTTGGATTTTTTGTTACGGTTGTTGTTCTTTTGTGGGGACGGTGTCATGTATAGAAAAAACCTGAGTGACCTTGTGTCCCGGCTTTGTAAATTGGCCTTCCAGAGTGTCACACAGGTTGGCCTCATGACATGGACAGCTTTCAGGGGAAGGTGAGGTACAGGCTACATAGAACAGCTTTTCTCAGTGCACTGTTTTGGGTTAATAATTTAGTCCGTCAAAGCTCTTTACGTAGAGGCTGGTTGGTGTATGCAACGCTCTTCGTGGAAAGTAGGTCAGACGTGTTATATGAGACAACCTGTCAGAGTGGCTTTTGTCTTGGCTTTATACACCAGCCTCCAGGAGTCCCTCACGTATGAGCCTTATGAAGGGCTTCTTGCTGGTCATATGAAACACAAAGGGGCCAAGTATAGGCTGTACGGAACAGTCCAAGTGGACATGGGTCCTGATTTCGTAAGTTCACCATCTAGCCAGAGTTCATTATGTCTACCAAAACCAAACCAAACCCGTGCTGAGTCGATTCCAACTCATAGCGACCCTACAGGACAGAGAAGAACTGCCCCGTAAGGTTTCCAAGGAGCACCTGGTGGATCTGTACTGCTGACCTTTTGGTTAGCAGCTGTAGCTCTTAACCACCACACCACCAGGGTTTCTTCATTACATCTAGGCCTTGTAAACTGGCTTTTGGTTAGCTGTCAGTAACAGCCAAAGTGGGTTCCTGTTGACTACACAAAATAGGCTCCTAGGAAGTCACCAGTCATCCGAGTTCTGTTAAGTTAGTTTTAAAAATCAGCAACCCTAAGGTACCTCCCAGAGTGGTCTTTAAGTTGGCTGGGTGAAACGGCCTGAGAATCTCACCATGCTTCCCAGAGGGTCCTGGGTTGGCCATGTGGAACAGCCACCCTGAGGGCTCCACAAAGGCCTCAGAGTGACCTCCTGAAACAGCCAACCTGAGAGCACCATGCTAGTCATGAGGAAGCTTCCCGGAGGTGGCCTCCAGAATTTATTAGCCTCCATCTGCCTTCTGGGAATAGGCTGCCTACAAAGTTTTGTAATTTCTTCAATTCTGTTGTGGCAGTATTCCACAGAAACTGCCAATAACAACAGCTTTCTAGGGAGCTCTGGGAGACTTTCCAGAGGGCTCGGATAATTTTCCACAAAGCTTCATTCAAGGGCACAAGGGTGCCTCTGGCCTTCCGGGGTCACAGTCTCTTGTTTGGGCGTCCGTGTGGCCTCAAACACCTACCCAGCTCCTGACCTTGGGCTTGCTAGTTAACCCTTTTGAGCACGGTGACATCGGCTCGACAATACTCATCTTGTTGGACCTTGGGGGGGGGGACAACGCGATACCGATGCCACACAGGTCCCGAGAGAGGCTCTACGCCCGCGGCCCCACAGGGTCCTCGGGACGCGCGGACACCGCAGGCTCTAGGTAGCCCACACCTACCTTCCACCCCGAGGCCTCAGACCCTTCCCCACCCACGGCGCCTTCCCAAGGCGGCATTTCTCGCGGCCCATGTTCAAGCGTTTCCAGTCGGGCCAGCTCCAGGCGATGACAAAGGGCTGACGGCATGAAAGCTACAACCGGTTTCTACTTGCGGATACAGACAACGCCAAAAAAATCGCGCAGGCGCACTACACCAACACGACATAAATAACTGCGCGTGCGCAAAATACCCTGCGGGCGGATCCGTCTCACGCGTGCGCAAAATGAAATTACTGCCGCAAGCAGAGCATTGCGCACGCGCGCTGCCTTCCGCCTATCCGCTGGCAGCGCGGGAGAACTGGAGGGGCAAACTACGCGGCGTTCTCAGAGCGCATGCGCTGGTTTCCTTCTCGCTCTCATTACTACTTCGAAGAGCGGCCCTGAGCTTTCAAGGCGCACGCGCGGGGCCGTCCCTCTTCTCGCTTCATCTCTTACCAGGACGCCTGCGCAACCCTCCCTTTCCAATCCCGGCCTTTCGACTTCTAAAGAGCCAGAGCTACCAGCGCTCTCGAGTTGCTCAAACTGACCTCTCTTGCGTTTGGGTGGTGTCGAGGTGCCCCGGGGCTGGCGAAGACTTGTTCCGTCTTGTCTGAACTCTCCAACTCCCTCCTTACGCCAAGGGTTGCCCGCAGAGTTTTGATCGCTCAGAGCTCATCTGATCACGACGGCGTGCCTAGGAGCGCCGAGTGATCGATGCCGTGGCCCCGCCCCGCCCTGTTTAAAAGGCGTGCAGGTGCAGGAGATGTAGAAGGGTTGGGTCTTTCCCTTTGTTTCGTCTTCCACGTGAGTAACACCTGCTTCTTCCTCTTCAACAGTAGTAACCATGTACAAAGCAGTTTCACTTCCACCGTTTTGTCTTATCCTTACAACTAACATTATTCGTTCTCCCTATTTGGTGGGGAGGTAAACCGAGGCTTAGTGAAATAAAGTAGCCAAATACTTAAACTTCGGAAAGTTACAGATCCTGAGTTTGAACCCTTCAAGTGCTGCATCCACGGCCTGTTGGAGTGAGAAGAACCTGAGTTCCAATGTGGAGTGACAGGCAAATGGCCCCGGTACACACTCTGCCATCTCAGCCTTGATGCTGAGTGGTGCAGGGGTCACTAGAAGTTTTTTTCTTTTGAGCACATCCTCTCTCTTTGGTCTCCAAGGAAGCAGCAGGCCTTTTGCAGCATGGAACAGAGGGAGTAGAAAGTTCTACTCACACTGGGCTTGGAATCTGTAGAAAAGGGAAGGGGAGTCATTTACTGGTCACCAGGGATGTGTTAGGAGCCCTGGTTGCACAGTGGTTAGGTGCTCGGCTGCTAACTGAAAAGTTGGCAGTTAGAACCCACCAGCCGCTCCACGGGAGAAAGATGTAGCAGTCTCCTTCCCTAAAGATTAAAACCAAACCCGTTGCTGTCAAGTCAGTTTTGACTCAGCGACCCTATAGGACAGAGTAGATTTGCCCCATAGGGTTTCCAAGGCTATAATCTTTGCAGAAGCCACAAGGGCTCCTTCCATAAATATGACAGCCTTGGAAACCTGTAGAGCCCCTGTGAGTCGGGATCAACTTGATGGCAATGGGTTTTAGGAACGTGTCTGGCATTGTTCTGGGCTTCTTAGACTCCTTAATCTCATTTAATTCAGCAATCACATGAGGTAGAGATTATTATGTTTTACTCACAGACAAGGAGACTGAGGCTCAGAGAAGTTAAGTGGCTTGCTCAAGGCCAATTCAACAGATCAGTAGATTCTAGGTCTGAAAATACTGCACTAAATGAACTCAGCCCCTGCCCTCAAGAATCTCATAGATAAGTGAGTTTTACAAATACTTACTGAACATTTACCACGCACCAGGCACTTTCAAACCACTTTATAAATACTAGATTCATAGATAATTATTATCATCATCATCCCAAGTTTATGGTGGGGAGGGGAAATAAAGCACAGAAAGTTCTCATAACTCACCCAGGTTCACTTGGATGGTGGGATTTGAACCCAGGCAGTCGCAGCTCCAGAGGCCACAGGCTTATCGCTGTACTAGTTTGCCTCCCCTTTGAGTGGATGGGCGCCCTGGTGGTGCAGTGGTTAAGAGCTATGGCTGCTAACCAAAAGGTTGGCAGTTTGAATCCACCAGCTGCTCCTTGAAAACCCTATGGGACAGTTCTACTCTATCCTATAGGGTTGAGTCCGAATTGACTCAGTGGCAATGCGTTTGGTTTTTTATTTTGGTTTTTTGAGTAAGTGGGCAGTTATGAGATGCTACCGTAGGGTAGGCACTAGGCTCCTGGGAGCCCAGAGCAGACCCTACAGTACGTGCCAAAGGAAATTCTAACACAGAATCCCTCACCAGAGACCTGGAATGGGGTTCTGGCCATTAACCACAAGTGTGGAGTGCCGCCAGCTGGGCAGAGACAAACCCCTTTGCTAGCTTGTTTGTGTTTTCAAAACTGGCTTGCTGAGATGAATTACAGACACAGATGACATGTTTTCTTAAATGAAAAAACCACAGTCTTTCACCATGGGGTTTCACTTCCTGTAGTCTCATTGCCCATCCCCACCCCCCACCCCAGCTCATTCCTGTCAGCCTTGGAATTGGCCATTAAGCCGACAGATCCATTGGAAGGCTGCGAAGGCACCGTTTATGTCCATATTTGTGATTTTTCTCCATTTGATCAGAAATCTGTAATTTAAATATATCCAAGTGTGCTGGGAACATTTGTGGCTTAATTAACAACTTTGTTTAAAATGCACATGCAAACAAACCAAACCCCAAATTTGAAAACAACATTTAGCTTGGCTATGGAAGAGACTTTTAATTTACTCCAACAGCTTAATGATGGGTATGAAAACCTCCCACGTCTTGGCTCCTCCACCGATTAGCTGCATGACCTAGGGCTGGTCATTTACCTGTTCTGTGCTTTCATTCCACCTCAGATGTGACCTTTGCTGCCTCAGCAAGGAGCTCACCACCACTACCACCACCAGTTGCTGTCAAATCAGTTCTGACTCATGGCGACCGCATGCG